AAACTAAAGGTTCAGTCAAGTTCATATATAATAATACCATTTAACAAGCATCTAAAATTACTAAAACTATTAGCAAAAACATCATACATAATCTCTAATACAAAATATTTCAGGGTCACACTAAACTATGTATATATCCTAGCCAGCCTATATTTTATTTCAAAACACAATTTCAGGATCACAATGTAGACAAAAAATAAATAATTTAAACCAAACTAAGATATTAATCAATCAAAATACTAATTTTAAATTGTAATTTCTAATTCACACTCATCCTAAAATTTAACTAAATGTATCAGAATCAAAACAGGGGTGCAAATTGTATCCAATATCACATTAATTCAAATAATTATACTATAATAAATCAAATAAAAGCCTAAAAAATATATAATGCACTAACCTATTGTAGATCTCCCAATAAGCGCGTCCTACAACAACAATGGCGAATGGAGACTGGAACGCGAACTTGGCGTCACACAAATATGCTTCAATGGAGTTGTAATACCCAACTGAGTAATGAGAGTAAGAGAATGAGAGAGATTGAAGACACAGAGGGAAATGGAGAGAACCCAGAGCAAGTAGGAGAGCACAAAGTGAGCGAGAAGGAGAGAATGTACCTTTAGTTTAATGGAAGACGCAGAGAGCGAGAAGGAGAGCGCAGAGAGCGAGAAGGAGAGCGCAGAGAGCGACAAAAAATGCAGAAACAGAGAGCGCGAGGTTGAAGAAAGGGGTTTAGGGTTTCTAAAAATATGACTTTAGATAGCGGTTCGCCAAATAACTATTATCTAAACTACACTTATTATAGCGGTTCCACGAAGTAACCACTATCTAAAGTTATGTTAGTGGTTTCACGTGTCAACCACTCTTTAAAGGTATGACATTATATAGCGGTTATCACACAACTGCTATTATAAATTACTTTAGAACATGATTATTTCTGAACCACTATTAAAACATACTTTAGAGAGCGTTTTACTCCTAACCGCTATCTAATATGTATTTTTAAAAGTGATTTTTGTTAATCGCTATCTAAAGTGCCGCCACGAAAGCCTCTTTTTGTTATAGTGATTGTTTTTCTCTTATTTCTCTATTAGTAGAGTAATTCTAGAGATAAATGGTAATGTTTTTTATGACGTTTTTCCCATCAGAGAACAATTATTGCAAGTAGCATCAATTATCCTATGGCAGAGACTAAGTGGACCGAACCACAATTGAGTCGTGGCGCTTGGGCTGTTAGTCTTAAGTAAAAAGAGTTGTGTTCTGACTAATGGTTATAACTTTTGACCTAATGATAAGCGCTCGATCTTAAGAACGAGAATAAATTTTTAAATGACTTATAAAGACACAATTCTTTTTCACACCATAGGTTAACTCATTAGAAACCTTTTTCAACCCTCACTACTTCATCTTATCATCTATGTGATTCCAATGATCAATAGAGTAAAGATATCTCTTCGAGTCTCAAATCAATATTGTTAGGTTGGACTCCTAACTATGTGTTTAAAAAATCCAAATAAATCAAGTCCATTTTATCTCACTTAACCTAAATGGAGAGGGGTTTGCTAGGTTAGAACAGAGAGAGCATTTCACAACTTTTGGAGGAGAAAAAGAAAAGAAGACAGTTTTGCTCATTTATCAAGCCGTCTTTTTAAAATTCAATTGTCGCTTATTCACCTTTGGATAGGACTAAAATTTTGACAGCAAGTTCGTGGCGCAAGGATCTTCATTTTGACCGTTAAGTCATCAATTGGAGGTTTGTGGTTGAAGATATCAATTTTACACTATGACAGATATTTAGGTTTCTTTTATTTGTTCTTTAAAAGTTGAAGCATTGTTGCTTTGATATATTAGCTGCTTTGTAGGTACTTATTTGTGTATTTTGATTTGACTCTCTTGAAGTTTGATTTATTGGCTTGTACCTGTGAGTTTTTGCTTCTTATATTGAGGGGGTTTTCCCATGCTAAAAAAATATATATTAGTGTTCTCTGTGATTATTTTTGTCATTATCTATCATTGTTGCTCCTCACAAATTCCAACAAGTCTAAGAAAATTATTTTCGATGCATAATTTGGTATTTTAGGTTGTTGTGTTGTTTTTCCCAATCAAATATATATACATACAACATAACATTTTTTAAAGACATGTAATAGCATTTAACACATCTCATTTCATGTCCATAACATGTATTTTAATATTTAATTGCATATACATATAATTTCTCAGTGCCCAAAATTCGCTGGATGAATCTGAAAGCGTTCAACAAAATTCAAATGCTTTTAATACTGCCTTAAATTCGTTAAGCGAATTTAGATCCACTGGATGAATTCATGATAGCAATAAAGCTGCATCATTTATTCAATACCCTACTTCTAATGTTCCAAATCAAATTAAATCTAGTTCCCCCAAATTGTAAATCAATTTACTAAATTCAATCTAAGAACAATACATTCTTACAAAAGATTATTATTTTTAATCTTATAAAAATCAATTATACATTCACATTCAATAAAATCATCACAAATTAACATATAGATAATCATACAATCTAATTTCCTGAAACCTAAACAATATGACTAAGTCATCTTCACATTCTAGATCTTCTAGTCTAGTGTACTATAAAAGAGTAACTAATTTCCCTTACTTTAAACACACTACCTCTAACAAGTAAGAGAACAAAAAAAACTCCTAAATTTTGAAAAAGATAAATCATACTCACAAATATCAAATAACAAATTGAGTATACTACAGTACTCCTAAATTAATTAAAACTTATCTTTTCACAATAAAGTCAATACTACACATAAGTCTTTCGAGACCCACTTATAGACCTAAACTAAATATGGAATAAAATTAAAAAAGGAGAAACTTACCTTATTAATATGCAATAAAAAAAAGAAGAGAAACTTACCTTATTAAAATTTTGATCAGTAGAATTAATTTTCTCTCTTTCAAATATACTAAGACATGTTTGGATCTAGAAAAAAAAATTAAAGAAAAAATAAAGGTCCATTTCTACTTTTTTTTAAATTAACATTTGAAAATATAATGAAAAGAAGGTCACATTTTAACTGTGATTTGATCTATATCTTATATCCTTCGGTGACAATCCATCCCTAACAAATAATTCAAAAGATATAAAATGTGATTTTTTACTTTAGGCATAAAATCTTTATGATATATATAAAAAAAATAGTTTTAACCTAAAAAAATAATATCAGAATTAACCTCAAAAATAATAAGTTTATAAGTAAATTGTAATTATTTTAATAAAAATATAACGGTAAGAATAAATTATAAAATGAAAAATAAAAAGTAAAGTATATAACTATCTTATTTATATAAAATATTAAATACTTTACCTAATTTAATTATGTACATGATAAAAGACTAGTTATCTTACTTTAAAATGTTTTTATTACTTTATATTAATCAATACTCATTTTTAGTGTTAAAATTAATAATAAAAACTAAAAAAACGAATAAAAAGAATCAAGGTTTAAAATTATGAATATTTTGACAGAAGAAAAAATTATATTTAAAAAAATAAAAACATATTTAAACTTAATTTATATTTGAGTGGTAATATAAACTGTTCTACACTGTTTAACATTTCCTCTTTATTTTATCTCAATCTTCTTATTTTATGATACGTAGTTGCAGAAAGTATAAATATTTTTGAATCAAAGATTAGAGGGTTCAGAAGAAGACAAAATTGAAATCAAATATACGCACCATTTTTTATAATAATAGCTTCTCTACAAATGAGTGTGAAATATCAAAGGTATTTTACTTTACTTTAATTATTTAAATATTATTGTGCAGTATATATAATGATGATGATTTCTTAGTCACACTGACTCCCACGCCACATCTGCCAGACTGAGGAAAGAAGCAACTGACGGTCCTTTCCAGTCTGTACATCCTTTTTCTTCTTCTTTCTATTATCTTCTTCTTTTTGTAATATTAATCACTTATACACTTCTCTTTTTTTATGTTTTCTTAGTATTATTGATTTCATTTTACCATATGGTTGGTTGGTCTCTAAATTTTTCATTGTGCTCTGCTCTTCGATTTTACAGTGTGAATGCAAAAAAGGGTTGTGGGTTCTTGAAGTTGTGATATGCACCCTTTTAAGCTTGTGTTTTTTTGCTTGGATGGATTAGAATTTCTCTTCTAACATGTTCCTGCACTCATTTGGTTGTTCTTTTTTTTTTTTGCCATTTTGTTAAGCTGATTTTCCAATTATACGAGATAATGAAGAAGGTGAATTGTGGGGATGGGAAACAAAATATAGTGGTGTAGTGGTGTAGTATTCAGTATCTGTGTTTCGTGTAACTGGTTTCAAAATTTGTGATTTTTGGTTATTTGTTTATCACAATTCACAGCTGGGTTCTCTACGATCTGAAGATTTTATTTTTTTTATGGATGGGGTATAACGTGTTTTTGTCTTGTTAATTATTGGGTGAAATTACCGACACAGATGAAGCGAAAAGTGCATTAAGACATACCTAATAATATTTTAGAATCGAATTAATAATCATGGAGAGAAGGAAAAGCACACTCCTGAAACCATTAAAAAGTAGAAAACGTGGTTCTTGTGAAAAAGGGAAGTGTGTACCTAACACCCCTATGGTTATCTCTGTTTTTGTCATTTTGAGGTGAGCAGATCTCATATTGGAAGATGTTTTTATTTTATTTTATTTATTTCATGAAAGATTATATTCCGTTCTCCAAATATGCTTTCTTGTACGAAAGTTCTTGGCCTTAGGAAGATCGAAACCGCAATTTAGGATTATGCCGGAAAGGGATTTTTTGATGTTTTGTAACATTAATGTTATCAAGCAGTGAGTTGTTGCATCCTCATTTATATTATGACTTTTCTGGTTCTTTTTTTGTTATCGTGCTTTCTCTCAGTGTTAAAGATAATTGTTAGATGGATTTTTTTCATTTTCCTGTTCTGTGTTGTTTCTACAGTCATTGACTTAATTGTCTTCCTACACATGTCGAATGCTTGCTATGCCTTTAGTTTTACAGAAGCTAGGCTTGAGTCTTATTTTCTTAATTGTTGGGTATTTAATGCAGATCTTGAGCTTATGGGTTCTTTGTTTAGCATGGTTAATACCAAGACAAATCAAAGTGAATCTCATGAAATCTCTCCCAGTGAGACCTGTAAGAGACAAAAGATGTCACCTGCCACAGTTGTAGAATGTCCTAGACTAATTCCTAATCTCCCTGATGAGTTATCCCTTCAGATTATTGCTAGACTTCCAAGAATTTGTTACTACCGTATAAGGCTCGTGTCTAGGAGGTGGAAAGCAACTATCATGAGTTCTGAATTATATAAAGTAAGGAAAGAGCTTGGAACAACTGAAGAGTGGCTTTATCTGTTGACCAGGGTTGGAGAAAATAAACTCTTATGGCATGCTCTAGACCCCCATTCTCGAATTTGGCAGAGACTGCCTGTTATGCCCAGTTTTGTCGAAGAAGAAAATTCCCAAAAGGTTTCTTCCAGGCTTTGGATGTGGAATATGGTAGAAGGTATCAGAATTGCTGAAATTATTCGAGGTCTGCTTGGACAGAAGGATGCATTGGATGACATGCCTTTTTGCGGTTGTTCTTTTGGAGCTGTTGATGGATGTCTTTATGTTCTAGGTGGATTCTCTAAATCATCAACTATGAAATGTGTTTGGCGATTTGATCCGATGCAAAATGTGTGGAGGAAGGTTAATTCTATGTCTACAGGTAGGGCATATTGCAAGACAAGCATCTTAAATAACAAGCTTTATGTTGTTGGAGGGGTTAGTCAAGGTCAAGCTGGACTGATTCCTCTTCAGTCTGCTGAAGTTTTTGACCCCTTCACGGAAACATGGTCTGATGTACCTAGTATGCCATTCTCAAGAGCGGGTGTCCTGCCCACAGCTTTTCTGGCTGACATGTTAAAGCCTATTGCCACCGGGTTAACCTCATACAAGGGAAGGTTATATGTTCCCCAAAGTTTGTATTCATGGCCCTTTTTTGTTGATGTTGGGGGAGAAATATATGATCCAGAAACAAATTCATGGATAGAAATGCCAAATGGAATGGGTGAAGGATGGCCAATTAAGCAGGCAGGAACAAAATTGAGTGTTGTAGTGAATGATGAACTGTATGCTTTTGATCCTTCAAATTCTGTGGATAATGGAAGGATCAAGGTATATGATCAAGGAGAGGATGTATGGAAAGTTGTTATTGGAAAAGTCCCTGTATATGACTTTACCGATTCAGAGTCTCCGTATCTATTAGCAGGTTTCCACGGAAAACTTCATTTCATTGCAAAAGATTCCAATCATGATATTGCTGTTCTGCAGGCTGTTCCATGCAGTAATTTGGATTCTTCACCATCAACCTCAACACCTCTATCACCCAAATCTATGCAGGACGAGTTGTTGCTAGATTCGGTTGCCGAAACAGATACAGTTGTTTGGATAGAAGTTGCCAGTAGGAGTTTTGGGCAGGCTGAACTGATCAATTGCCAAGTTATTGATATCTAAACTGATATCAAGCAACAAATCTGACAGCCAAGGTGTCAGTTTACTGTAAGTTATGCATCATATCAATGAGTTATGTAATAGTATATATTTAGTTAGTGTTGAATGTCAAGTAAATATGTTGCATAGAAAGTGCTCGCTTTGACAATGATTTGCTTGTTGCTAGGTAAATACTCAAATTTATTAATACAATTAGAAATAGTTCACTGTACTAGAATTGACGTTAAGTAATGTTACTTGCAGAAATTTAACATACTCTTGCCCGAGTCATTAATAGCGTAGGTTCAGGAAAGGTTCTAATGATTCAATCTGTGCACATAATTGACATAATTATTGCTGATATCTACTACTGATTTAGAGCAAGCTGAATTAGACATTTATCCCCAAACTCTGACATATATAAGGAAGCCACACTAAGTAGATGATTATTTTAGCTTTATATATGTTCTTGCTCAAGTGATTTTCAATAATTTACTGACTCGAAATGTTGAACCCACTTATGGAACGGAAATGTTGCCTAAGATTTTTCTGTTATGGATGTTCATAGTATTAGCATTCATGTTGAAATATTTTTTAGTAAGAAGACTTATATATGGGATAGAGGGGACAGGAACAGTGCTGATACCATGCATCTTGGGATTTTCATAATGAATTTGAAGTTCAAGTTTTCAAAACATCTACTTGGTTTCATTATAGGACTACTTGGTCAAATTATATGAAGCAACAACTATCTAGTGTAAAGAGCTTAATTAGAACTCTAATTATGGTTTAAGTGTGATAAGAGAGATAGATACTCATTGAATCGAGATTTTTGAACATGTTGAATGGATAAATAATTAAAAAAAGGGCATTTTATTTAAAAAATAAACACATAAAAATCAGAAAAGTGATATTTTAAAATAATATCTTATGTAATAAACTGGTATGTTAATTAACAGCTTAACGAGTAAAAAGTGAGTGGAGAGCACAAAGATTAAAGTAGTCAAGAAGGAAGACACCAAAATGGTCAGTTGAGAAAGGGTTTTTTGGATAAATTTTTCATAAGTACTTTATGAAAAAATAAATTATAAATCAATATTTTTTAAAGGCAATGAAATTATAATAAATTAAAGCACATCCATGGATTTGTGCTTTGGGTATGTTAATAGGAATTGTGAATCAAACCCAACAAACACAATCCGAAGCAGTAAATATTCCAAGCAAAAAGCCTAACAACTAAAAATGGAATAAACAATACCTTCACAACAATGTTAATACCTTAATTTAGTTTTATAAGGTTTTAGAAAAATAATAACATTCATACAAAATATTTACAAATAAATAAATAAAACAGAGAAAAAAAGAAGATGAAGAGAATAGATAAACATACATACACCTCAAGAATACAAAAGTATACATTAGAACAATGTTTAGTTCTCCGTGGAAACATTTGTGGGTAATTGTGGTACGGTTTAATTCAGTTTTATATTAAAAAATCACTCAAATTAAATATAAAATTTAAATATAATTTAGTTTAGTTTGATTTTATTTTATTTTATTTTATTAAAATTAAATCAAATTAATATTTTATAAATTTTTATTATAAATTTATTAAATACATTATAATAAAATAATTATTAAATAAAAATTTAGTATAAAACTATTATATATAATTATGATATCTATAATTTTAATTTATTTTTATATATCATATACTTCTACGTTCCATCTAAAATAATAGCAAATACATCTCCTAAATTACTTTAAACTAATGTTACCGGATCAAGAAATTTGAACCAAACCAAGTTATTTTTGAAATGGCCCAAAACAATCACCGTCTCTTTATGGAATGTTATTGGATCTTTGTTCTATTTTTTTTTTTTAATTTCTTTTTATCATGTATTAAATGTTAAATAGTCTTCTCTTGACACAGAAAAATGAGAGAAGATACAATATTTTATTTAAAATTAATTATATTTTTAATTCCTAAAATGTGAGGTCAAAATTTCCCTTCAAATTTAGAAAAAAAATCATTTTAATTCCTCAAATAAAATAAAATATAATTTTGTCTTTAAACGTTAAATTTAAAAGACTAAAAATAATTGAAAAAACTCAGTTTAATTCTTTCAATTTACGATTTAGGATTTAAAATAATCTTTTTAGAGTTTAAAATATTTTTTTATAATTTCAGAATTAAAATATAAAAGTCCATAAATTTAAGACATTAAAAAATAATTAAAATTTTATTTCATGTGATACACTTGAGGAAAAATATTTAAAAAGTAAAAATAATTAAAATTATATTGAGTAAATATATAATTACATTTTTCTTAAGTAAATAGTATCATTTAAAAGAATAGAAGAAAGGCAAAATAAATAAATAAAAAAATTTAAAGATAAAAGATTAATGTGTCTGTCTATAATATATATATATATATATATATATATATATATATATATATATATATATATATATATATATATATATTATGTTTTTGTACACGAAGTCTTTTTAGTCATTTTAATCATATAAATTTTTGAAAATCTTTTAAATGAAACTGAATAGAGAAGTTCTAATATTTTAAATTGCACCTAACAAAGTGTTGTATATAATTATTTAGATTCTTATTATTTTTGTGATTTTTCATAAGTATAATATTTTCGATGAAATTTTCTTCTTAAACGAAACGAGAGTATCTTATTTTCATATTTGAAGTTCTTATATGATTTTTCAAAAAGAATTTTGGTGAATTAAAAAAGAAAGTGCATATAAATCATTAGTGTTCTCAATTTCTATATAATATATAATGTGAGACTCATGAAAGTGGAATAAGACTTTACTCTTAACTTCATAATGGACATGTAATTTCATCAATCTAATATATAATTAAGAGTTTTTATTCCAAAATCTACCTTAAAATAAAATTATTTAACTTTACAGTATTAGATTATTATGACCGAGTTAGATAAACTAGAGATAAATTAATTCAATAAAAATAACTTTTATGGTTAGATTTAATGGAACTTTTTTTTACTCAATAAAAATTAATTAAAGTTCCAACTATTTTTAGCTAACAAAGAAAGGTCTTGATAATAATAGAGAAATAATATGGAAAGGATCACATGTGATTTTATATATTTCTACTTACACACTTTCTTATAATTATGTTACTGAAGATATTAATTATGTAGTTATAGTTAATTAAACTCGAATCAGATTATCTTTATATTAGATTTTAACAATTGATATTATATTGAATATTCTAAATCCTAGTGCATATGTTATTAATCTCTAGATACCTATGAAATTAATTAGTATTCAAAATATCAAATATTAACTAATAGAAAAAGAGTAAAATCCATTAAAGATTATGTTGTTGGAAACTAACATGCAGAGTTGGAGACAAAAGATATATAATGCTGCTCGAATGTTTGTGTTTAAGTGACTGGTTATGGCAAAAAGTGAAATAGGTAAAACATTTGATGATTAAAAAGTGGAATGGGAATTGTTTTGAAAGGATGTTCCAGTTAAATGTTTAAGAGTAGCAAAATGGTGTCATGGCTAATGCTATATACATTCACCTCTTGACGCCATCTAAGGATTCTATGAATCTTATCATGTCAGATACATAATGTTTGATACAACTTGGTCATCTATTTCAATATCCATGGACATATATGTATATTATATATATTTCTAACCAGTGTGTACATAAATTAATAAAAAATTTCAAATTTCAGTTCACTATTTTAAATAGAAAATATATATGGTCTGCAAAAAAGTTATGTACTAAATATTAATATTAAAATTCTAAACTCGTTTTTGTTCAATAGAGGGACGATAAACTTCACTCATAATTGGTAAGAAAGCTCCAATTATTGAACTAGTTTTAAATGAATTTAACATTTTAACATGTGAAATTCTAAAACTCGCATCCTCAGCATCAATTTGTGAATTTTTAAACCAGTTTCACGCAGAATTTAAATCGCAGAACCCAGTTTTTCCGTTGAATTTTATAGTTAGCAAAATTCATTTAGAGAGCTTTCTGTTCTGGCCAATTCTCGTGTTAATTAATCACCCCAACGCTGTTATATGGGGTTTGAACTCTAAACTGTGATGAACCATGAAACGTTTTTCTTTAACAAGATAATGATTTTTCCAGTCACAAACTCAAATATTCCTCGTCACTTGGATAAGACAGAGGATGATCACAGCATTCGTAAAATACCATTTTACAGTACAATCTCATTTCATTTCATAATTGGAGGCTATACAAATAATTATACATAATAACGATAAAAAGGAGAATAAAAAAAGAAGAAGAAGCAAGATCAAGTAGAATCAAGAATTGAAAGAACGTAGTACTCTTCTTGGTACTTAGAAGTAGAAAACCAATCACAAAAACCCAACATCATCATGAATCATGGTTGGGTGTGGTTGCAATCTGAAATTCGAGAATTTTTTTTATGGGGGTGTTTGGGGACCCATGAGAAACACCCACTTGGTGTTTTATCTTCGAAACCCCTTTTGATGGTAGAAATATTCATCAGCTGGGCGGTTTTCTTTTCTTCTTCTTGTGCACTCTTTTTCATCTTTTCCTTGTATAGCTTTCTCGCCATGTACGCTTCAGCTAGACCAAAACCTGATGTTGCCATGCCCAGTTAGAATCAAGAAATCAATGATATTGAAGTATTGAAGGTTCGTGTGAAATGGGAAGAAAGAATGGTTGGTTTATATAGAGCTGTATTGGCTTGGGGTAGAAGCAAAAGTGGTGAAAAAGAAAATGGTCCTCGCTTAAGTCAACAATTTCGAAGTCTAGGTGGGCCCCGAGTAGGGTCACCCCCACACTTTATCCCGTTTTCACCTTCTCGAAAATGTTAATAATATTAAAAAATGTTGATTTAATCTCAAAATTTAGAAACCCATTTAAAAATTTTGAATAATTCAGGAATGTATTGAGTAGTTTAACTTGAACTAAATTTATAACTTTATAATCAAGCTAATTGTTAGTATTAATTTTATG